ATGCCTTCTTCTGCCTGAGCAGATTTGAACTCGCATCTCTGACCAGGCAGCTCTGTGCCTGGGGCAGCTAACAATGTTTTGGGCAGTGATTGCTGCTATACTGCTGATCTCAGCAGTGCAATAAGCAGCTGCTGCATTCATAGCTATTTTTGTGCACTCTCCCACCCCCCACAAAGGCAACACCTAAGGCTGTTGTCCTGATGCCCCCCCCCCCCCCAGCTGTTATGCTACTGTCTTCAACCTCTCAGAAGAGTGCTACCAGCCTAGAAATGTATGATCTCAGTCCTTCCGGCTTACACTGTTCCACTTTGTAAAAATACTGTATTTACCTGAATCTAAGCCAAACCTGAATTTAAGCTGACCCCCCCACCCCCTTATATTCTATATACGCAAAATTTATAAATTTGTTAGAATTTGGTATAGCATTACTGGAGGGTTGTCTTAAATTCATCTCCCTGCCATGGCTACAGCAGGGAAAGCAGTGACTGGGGGTGGGGGGTCAGGAAGCCCCCTTGCCCTCTGCTCCCCCCACTTCTTCTCCCTGCAGCCTTCCTGTACTCCCACCACCTGCACCCCTTCAGCCCCAACTCCCCACAGCCTCTGCCTCTTCTTTCCTTCCCCTGCTTACTGTCAGATGCCATCAGGCTCTATTCCCTCCCAGGTTACACATGGAAGCATGGCCCCTACCAGGCCACAGCAGTGTTGACACTGGTGATTGGCCGGACAGGGGGAGCAGTTTTCATGTGCTGCACGCCTGGGAGAGAATCCAGCTCAAGCCAGAGCCGAGCTGCACATGACAGTAAAGGAGGGGAAAGACGGTGGGGCAGGAGGGGCAGAAGCTGCAGAGGGTAAGTGAAGGTGGGGTCAGGAAGCTGCTATGGGTCTGACTCTGGCTTTGACTCAGGTTCAGGGCCAGAGCTGTAGCAGCTGCCTGCCCTCTCCCCTTTGCTTGTATGCAAATCTAAGATGAGGGACTCTTCCCCACCCTCCCTCTCCTACCCTACCATGCTGATTAGGGAAAACACTTTTATTAGATTTGAGTAAATATAGTAATTATTACCTACTCAAGGGACTGGAACCATCATGTCCTTACCTCCCAGGTGACTGTCCCAACCACCAAGCTAGAGTCACTTACTTTCTCATTCACTAAATATGATAAGTTGGTATATTAAAATATATTAAAATATTTGATGCAGAGTTGAATATCTGCAATAGGATTAAGGGAGAAACACAATGAAGTACCTTAGATCAAATGCTCAATTCAAATCTACTGTTTGCCTGATCTAGGGCATGTTTTGAAATAAGGTTCCTCACATCCTGGGTAAGTGACCAAACTACCGAGTTACTGAATTAAAAAAACCCCAGAGGGGACAGCATGTCCCCAACTACTCTACATTTACCAGCTGTAGACCCACACCATAATAGTGCACTGCAAGTAGCAGTTATATAAAATGAGCTTCGGAGGTATTTAACCTACCTGCTTAAGTTGAATTTCTGAATTGACATGGACGTCACAGATTTCACAATGAAATGTCTTGTTCTGCAGTCCTGAGCCCTTACTGCCATTCTGAATCTTCAGCCTGGATCCAGGTCTAGGATAAGCCTTAATTGGACCCGCACCGTTCCGTGCTTCGATCATTGTCTTGTGTTTGGAACCTGACGGCCAAATAGGAAGAGTTAACTGAAGGGCTTAATTTTTTTTCCAGAGCAACAAATCACAGCAAACTTTATATTTTAAGCATTGCTGCAAATTCTAACTTTTTTGATTTTCTGAAACAAACCGATCATTTATGAAGTAGAGTTGTTAAATCCTCAAGGCTCGTATTTATTAACAGCATTGACTTTGGTCAGTATAACACACTCTTCCTCCCATGCATTGCACAAGGAGAGAGGGGGGCAGGGAGGGGCAAAACAGTGGTAAAAGTTATAGAGAGCTTGTGCCAAAAAAGATAGACACAATGGATTATCCCCCCTCAGGTTGTTGCTACTTTCCATTCTGCAATAGAAGGGCTATCTTCAGGGGCTAAGGGAGGATGACAGGAACTGGTTAATCATGTTTTCCTACTCAGATTGCCACTGGAAACGGAAAGATTTGCTCAACCACTTTTAACCCTCCTGCTCCTGCTCATATACGCCAAAATAGGAAGTGAAGCGCTGTCCTCTTGAGACTCTGAACTGGGGTTGCTTCCCTGCTGCATTTTTTGAGTTTGGTGGAAGCAGGAGGGAGCAGAAATGTGGGGCGTGCTCAAGTATAGAATGAGAAGCCCCAGAAATGCTGGTCTTAATTATGCATTCTTCTAGATTCTAGTTGATTTGGGCGGATCATGGTATTATTAAGTCTTGCAGTCCAGGGGAGAGAATGCCAAGCAGACATCTTCTGGATTTGTTCTCATTGGCCAAATTTATTTGGATCTGGCCTCAATTACTAAAGCTTCTATACGTAATTCTGAAAAGTGTATTCTTAATGTCATTACATAAAACCTATATTTTACCAATACTACAGTATTCGCTAAGGATAAGAAGGATAAACCTAGCATTCAGTAGAGCTTGAACAAGTACAGGATATATGCTGAACTGAGAAATTTCATGTTAAGTGGAAGCATCCCTGGAATAATGATAAAGTATGGTTAAGTAACAAGGGTTCTAGGATGTTTGTAGAAAATATCAGTTTAGACCATATCTGAGGCTGTATTAAGGATAGCTTCAAAAACAGGTAAAAGAATGTATCTAGTTCCTGATTACCTGAATTTTTCCATTGCCTTTCTGTATTCTATGTTTTACTGACCACCTCAATTTACATTTTAACTGACTGGCTTTTTTCCATATGTACTGGCCTCTGGCTGCTTTACCACTCCATCCAGGAAGAGCACAGACCAGCTGCAGATGCTTTCTCGGCCTGATGAAGGGTGTTTGTGCCTGAAACTTTGCTAAGAACAGTTTTTCCAACAATTTAAGTTGATCTAATAAAAGATATCGGATTTACCTGAAGAACTTTATCTGCCGATTCCTCTTCAATAGTACACATACATTGTTGTTCAGACCTAAAGTAGTGTTGGAAAGCCAACTCTGTGTTGTTTTAATTAACACCTCCTGCCCCCCCTTGTCACATTCCTATTTTGTAGGCACTCACCTGTATTGTGGGCTTCTAGCTGTGAAAGAGAGTTCACAGCTACTTTGCATAGTGAACAGTAAAGTAGTTTTTTGGCTTTTTCCTCTTCTGATTCAGAAACTGTGCTAGTAGCTCCATTTGTGCTCTTGGAGGATGATGTAGATGTTACAGGTGCTAGTGCTGTAACTCCAGGTTTGGGTAGGAATGGACTCACTTCAATATTTGGATGCTGACTTGAACCATTGGTTTTTGCTTTCCCTTTATCCTCTAAAAGAAAAAAGCAGAGGTATGCTGTAATGTGCTGTTCCCAGCAAATCATAAAACAGTCTATGTTTGTGCAGCACCGAGCACTTGTAAGTTCTGGGCCACAATAATTATGCCCAAGGCAGTGAAGGGCACAAATCTTTGGACTCTCTTATTAAAATCTTGCCATCAAACTTATACAACTGTAAGGCTTGGCAGGATTCTATTTGTTATTGTTGATAAGCATTGATTTCGCCTCACACTCACAGACAGATGACAAAATATTTGCATTGCTAGTGGTCAACATTTTTTATAGAGAGGGGATGTAAGAATAGGCTGCTGCTGCAGTGCCCGAGCAGGCTGCTGCTGATCACTGGCTGGAGGTGGGGACATGGGCTGGGCACTGTGTATCTGTGTGTGTGTGTGTGTGTGTTCCTACCCTTGCCTCCCTAGCTCAGTGCCTGCAGGGTGCTAGCCAGCCAGTCCCTCCTTTGCAAACTTGGGTGGGAGCTGGTGGGCAGAGCAAGCCGCTGGCTGCAGGGGGCAGATGCCACTGCAGCAGCTGGAGGTTTCCTTGCTGGGAAGCAGGAAGGGCTGGGGGGAAGTGACTGCTGTGGGACAAAGGAAAGCAGGCGCTGAACTTGGCACCACTGTGCACGGGGGGCCAGGTGGTGGGCTGACAGCTTGGCAGCCCAGAAACTTCCCGAGCCTGCCGTATGCTGTGCTGGAGAAGGAAGCAGGGGGGGGCGTGTGTGTGTGTGTGTGTGCGCGCGCACATGCATGCAAGTGTGTTTGCATGTGCATGCTCCCACACTCCTAATATCAGGCAATCCTGAAACCTTAAATCAATAAAAATCAAAGTAAAAGCTTAAAAATAGATTTTAATTTTAGCTGTCAAAATTATTAAAAAATAAAATCATATTTTGCCAAGCTTAACTGTTGTGGAGTTGACTTTCCAGTCTCTTGGGACACCATTGAAGTATCTCTACCGGAGACTTACCTTTAGGATCATCTAAACAATTTATGAACAGCAAATTGTTTCCCTGTGGAATGACCCAACTTTTACCAAACAACAGAGCATTTCAAAATAATTCCAGTGGGGAGGATACCAAGAAACTCCACCACAGTCTTGGAACTTCATTTTCCCATTTCAGTTCCCAAGTGCCACATCATCAATACGGGAATGGCTGCAAATATTTAGATAAGATTTTCAAAGAGTGTTCCTTTACATAAGCTGGAGGGGTCTAAAGGCTCCAACATGTACTTCTGAATCACATTACAATAATCAATCAATCATCAAGCCTCCCATGAGACAGGCAGGTAGGCACTTTTATTTCATTTTACAGAGAATGATCACACTGCAAACAAGTTAACTTAGCTGAAGCTGTAAAGGGATATGTTAGGGCCATTATTGGAATGCAGGTGACTTGCACTTGTTCTGCAAAGGAGTCTTCTAGACCTTGTTGGCTATCTTGCTACTGAGCTGGCCCTTCTTGTGACCAAAGGCCATGCTGACTTCCCAGCAGAGAAGCTAGATTATTTATAAGTAGCCATCCAGCAGCTAGGAAGGATATACAGTGGCCCTAGTACCTTAAGTGAGTGTCAGACACATGTGTGTCAGACACTATCTCTGGGAATAGAGGCCCCTGACCACCATAAATAACTGACATCCTCTATAAAAAAAAATCACACCAAGAGATTTTCAACTGTATTGATCAATTTACATCAGCCTGTCTAACTGTACTTCAAGACTATTTATTCAAGGGAAAGAACTAGATATTTAACATTTTTTAGATAAAATCTAAGCTTAGCCTTCACAGTTAGCTAAAGTTCCAAAAGTCCAGCTCTGAATATAGAATTCATTATATTATAGCTTACTTATGGCACAAATATACATAACAAACAGGCTACAAGATACCAGGACAAAGCAAAGAAAACTTGTGTGAAAAGGAGCAGACAAGAACTCTTTCAAAGCATGGTTTTATATCTTATTTTCTCCATATAAACTTAAAATTAAACTAGCTCAACTTAAATTTGCAATATCCCTATAATATGCATATTGTTTATCTTTAGAGTTCCTACTGCTTTAATAGCTTTCTATCATAGTCAAGCAGGTACCAACCTACCACTGATGATAATAAGGGTCTTCAGTAGACTTGTGCAAACAGGAAAGTATTCTATTCAGATTTGGCCTATTTGGAGGACAGTGATTTGATTTGGTGAGTCGAATCACTGTCCCCATTCGATTTGGCTGAATCAGAATTGGAGATTTGGTGCCGATTTGGCACTGATTCAGAGATTTGGATCAGCCAGGGAGAGGCAGGCACAGCCAGGCAGCTGCAGGTTCTCCTGCGGCTCCTCTGACTGTGCCTGCCTGTCCCCAGGCAGGGGCAGTTGCGGGAGAAGTGTCTATGGATGCCCTGCCCAGCCCCATCCCCCACCCGGTCCCAGCCTCTGAGAAAAGAAAAAAAAAAGCCACTCACCACTTGCAGCAGTGGCAATCGGAGCCTCTGAAGGCTCATGGCAGAGCCCTCCTTGTGCAATGTGGGGCAGTGGGAATCGCCACCCCTGCCTGACACCTGCGTGGTAGCTGCCCTAGGGTGCGAGGGCAGTGCGGATCTGCAGGCCACTGTGCACTGTCTGGGAGCTGGGGCCGCTGGGGCGGAGTAATGTTGTGCTCTGGGTGACTGCTGGAGCTGCCCCAGCTCTCTGGCTCCATGTGGTGCCCTGCCGAGCCATGCTGCACCCGTGTGCTGTGACACCGGCTTTGCAGGGGCCAAGAGTGTGTTGGGGGGGGTGACCCCGCTGCCGCCTGCTGTCCTGTGCTGCTCCAGGGGGCTCTGCCATGAGCCCCCAGAGGTTCTGATTGCTGCTGTTGCAACCAGTGAGTGCAGGGCTAATTTTTTTTTTTTTTTTTTTTTTTTA